TAAGGGTGCGTTTGGTTACAGTGGGGGAATAGTAATGGGAATAGGAATGAGAATGGAATGAAAAAGAAAGTTGATTTATTTGTTTGGTTGTAATTTTAAGAATTCTCTAGAATGGAACATGAATATTTTCATGCTGACAAATTTACCCTTATGTTATATATAATACTAATATTTTATCTATCAATATGATATATAAATGTAATATAATATAATAAAATTATTATTATATAATAGATTATATAATTATGATATATAATATAACAATATTATTAAAATTGTTAATATAATTATAATATTATAATATATAAAATGTAATATAATATAATAAAATTATTATTATATAATTATGATATATAATATAACAATATTATTAAAATTGTTAATATAATTATAATATTATAATATATAAAATGTAATATAATATAATAAAATTATTATTATATAATTATGATATATAATATAACAATATTATTAAAATTGTTAATATAATTATAATATTATAATATATAAAATGTAATATAATATAATAAAATTATTATTATATAATTATGATATATAATATAACAATATTATTAAAATTGTTAATATAATTATAATATTATAATATATAAGATATAATTACGTTACAATATATTATATATTATTATAGAATATTAAATAAATATATTATAATTTATAACTATATTATAAATTAATTATTATATTATTATAACTATATTATATTATAATATTTTTTATTATATATTATATTATATTATAAGATATAACTACTATATAATATATTTTAATTATATTATAATATTAAAGGGTAATTATGGAAAAAAATAAAAAAATAACTTAGAATGACTGTTCCTCCCATATGAGGAAGGAATGATGATTCACCCAAAATGGGTGAATGGCCATTCCTTTTAAATGATCTTTCCTTTCTTATAAATTCAATCAAACATCAAACTAGAATTTCATTCCATTCTATTTCATTCCTTTCCACCCAACCAAACATACTCTAAGAGTGAAGAGTAAAAATTTAGATTCATACACTTTAAGAGGGAATTTGTCTCCTATTCTCAAGTGCAATTCAATGTACATCATGGATGTCGAAGTTTTAAATTTGCCACATAAATAAAGTAATAAAAGACAACAAAACGTTGGCTGTGCTGGCGGTTTGTTGATTGGCCACACTATTGAGTTGTCTTTGTCTTTTTAGATCTGTGTTTTGATGGTTTGTTGGTGGCCTTCATGCTACACAGTTGTGGCTCTCGATCCATCAGAGGCTTTCATTAATTATAGAGGTATTTTCAAAAAGAGCCTTATGTGATGTGAGCTCGATTGCAGGTGTGTCAAGAAACTTTTCCGTTATTAGGTCTCGGTGTACGTCTTTCTTTTTGAGCATCATTCAATTCCAGTGGTAGAATCGGTCTCAAATAAGGGTCGTATCTCGTGTATTATAGAGTCATTTGCATTGTTATTGGTGTTTGTAATTCCCTGTGAATGCAATTCCTTTTTTCAAAAAAAAAAAAAAAGGAGAGACAAAAAAACGTTATATAAATCCAAATATGTATCCGTGGGATACCACCTAATTATCTCTTAGCCAGAATAGGTCCAAGGCCTAGGCAGCGTCCAAACTAAGCGTACCTTCATCTGAACGGGCTAATAAGTGTCTAACTGGCCCAAAAGGGTGGCTAGTAAACTACTAGGTTTCCAGACCGAAACAGGCCCAGTCAACTACCTTTTACTACGGGCCCTGTAACCCAGCAATCACATGCCCAATAGATCTAGTATGAGAAAATTGCAGAAGTTATACGTACCTGTTTACCTCTTATTTTTAATAAATATCTTTTTATTAGTATAATTATTTTGACTAAAAAGATTATAAATCAAGAATAAAGAATAAAAATTTTAATTTATGTACTTTTAAAGAGTATTTTTTAAGATTATCCATCTCGTATACATTAGAAAACTGTGAGCTAGTTGCGCAACATGGGTATACAAGAATTATCTTATCAAATACGAATTGCCGCTGTGTGTATGCGTTGCATTACATTGAGGAAGAACTAGGCATGGTTGTATTTATTTATTTATTTTTTAAAATATGGTATGAAGCTTATGACTCCTATTTTACATAAGAAATAAAATCATAGTTCGAATCCTAATGAATACACGCACACACGAATACACTCAACTACTTGAGTTAGCTTCAAGTGGCTTTTCATATTTTTTTGCTTCATTCAAAGGAGATCAAAGGATTTCACTCCTCCCCATGGTGACTCGGCATGGTTGTATTTACTTGTACAATCAATTTTTATTCAACGGAATAGAGCCAATCTTCTGTCGATCAATTCTTTTTTTTTTTTTTTTGTTTCTGGAGTTGGTATTATCATATTTGTTAATTAAATTCACTTTATATATACTAAAAGAAAGGAGATGTGCATTGTTCACACACTCACATTTTATTATTTATTGTACAATAACATTTTTAAAATTCTGCTTTCGTCTCTTGTTATTCGAGTGTAAATTGTCAATTTTACCTATTTTTTCTTCTCTTTTCCCTTCCCTGCACATGGGCTTTTGCGTCTTTCGGTCTATGATTGTCACGTATCGACGCCTGATTGGCCGAAGGAAAAAGTGGTGGGGCCCACCATTGTGAAGCCGCCCTCTTCCCCTGTTGAACGTGCTTCTCTTGCGCGTGCTTTTCACGCGCTAATCACAGCCATCAAAGTTTTTGATCGGACGGTTTCAAATCATTTCTGAGTTATTTTTTAGATTTTTATTGTTTATTATAATTATTTACTGTTTTGACTTGATTTGGAGTTCAATTTTGTCTGTTTTACCACCGTTTTGTATTAATTTTTTTTTATATTACTTAAATAAAAATACCATAAATAATACAATGAAATTAAATAAAAATGTGCTAAATTAAAATTCAATAACACCAAATTAAATAAAAAAAATAAACAAAATAAAATAGAATTAATTTAAAACACAATAAAATAAATTAAATTATTTTCCCTCTCTATTTGCTTAAGATTTTTCTCCTTTATTATTTTCATTTCTTTTATGTCGTCTTTTTTACTTCTTTTTTAAAAAAAAATAATTTGCGTTAGCCGTTATTTTAAATTAATCATGTGTACGAAGCGCGCATTTGAGACTAAAACTAAATAAAGACTAAAAAAGAAAAATATTGAAAAAGAAAGGCATTGATTTGTGATTCGGTTTTATCCATTTCAATATCATTTTGCGCCAAATTGTTAAAGACTCTCAAATGATAATAGTATAAATAATTTGAATAAAAAATAAAATAAAATAAAAATACACTAAAATAAAATAAAGTCGCATCTTTTTAAATAAATTAAACTAGAAATTATTTTAGTGGTTAGAAGAGCAACACAAGTATTGATAAAAAAAATCATGCTGTAAATTAACAATTGATGAAGGCTTTACTGATCTATTTGTAATTCCACCAATCATTGCTCAGTTAAAAGGACAAACAAAAATCTTGCAAGTTTATTTTCAACAAAGAGTAGCACAAATAACTATAGTTGTTTCAAAAATACTTGAAGATGTCCATCTTTTAATACCACTATCATAAATTTCAGCTGCCACAACAATAGATCCAAAAACACCAGATTGAAAAAGATTGACCACAAGGTAAGACATATTTATTAATTTATATCAATTATCAATAAAAATCAACATTTACTATTTTGAATATATATCTTAACAATCTTTAATCAATTCAGTTCAGAACCAAAAGTAACAGACACACCCAGAAATGCCCAAAGACTAGATAATATAACTACTTCGAAATCTTTTGATCTACACTACATATAATTAAAGATTTTCAACTTCCTTAATTATTATTATTAATTTTTTAAAAAATTGTATTTTGTAGTTAAAAAGAATAAAAGAAAATAAGGAAACAAAAGCTATAATACATTGGCAGAAACTTTTAACTCTATATATATATATATATATATATGTATATATAAACTAATTTTATACTATAAAAATTTTTAACTTTTTATATAATACAGTATTTTCCAACAACACGAGCTTTTTCTAGGCAAACCATGAAGCATGCTTGAAGTTAACAAGTGATATTTTGCTACAATGGCAAGTTAATTAACCAATTATAGATGGCTTTAGAAAAAGTTGAAAGGTGTGTGGCTCTCCTATTTTCATTCCTCTTGTAGTACTGTTCTATTCTTCGCTCCTATGAACTTTCTGTGGGCAAGTCAGTCAAACAGATCATCACATTCTGTAGCGAAATATAGAGCTGTATTTGCAAATAATAATAATAACAATAAAGAGAAAACGAAAATAACAAAGAAAAAAATAGAAAGAAAACCATTTTTTTTAAATGTTAGATTAACAACAAAAAAAAAGTTTAGGAACCATATTAAAACTACAAAGTTTTTCTTCAATCCTTCTGGTGAGAGGTCCCTTCAACGTAACACGTAATTATAAAAACGTAATATAATAATTATTGAACATAACATCAATATTAGAGAGAATTAACAGCAAAGAATTTAGTCATTTAAAACTATATTATTTCTCTCTAATGTTAATGTTATGTTTAATAATTGTCATATTTTTGGAAAAGGACCGAAGAAAAAGCCTAAAATTGCATATAAGGCATACTTGGAAGGAAGACCTAAGATTCACAACACTAACTATATATTTACTAAACTTGATTTATTACCAAATACCAATTCATCAATTTTCAGTATTTTACTACATGCAAGTGAACAAAAAAAGTATGAGCTATCATGCTGACAAACTCTCTCCATTACTGGGATCCAAATTCCCAAGTGAAGTTTTTTTTTTAGAAATAGAAATCCAATTCGCATAGCCGCATATACCTTTCAAAGATTCTAGTGTAGAAAAGAAGCGCATTAGTAACAAATCAGATCAGGCCACGCTAAGAGGACATGACTCCACAAACACCGACTGAATTATTTTATAAATGATAAAAACAGAACCATATCAAATAACCAAACGTTCGAAAATCCTTATCTCCAAACCTCATCCATTCCCTAGCTCTCCCTCCACTCATTTTCCCCCTCTCTTCTCCTCCATACCATGAACTACAACCAACAAAAGTCAAAAGATAAGCCTGCTTTTGCCTTTCTCACATAACAAATTATAACCCAAAACTTTCTCACCGGAGACCTTCTTCTCCGCCATATCCAATTCTCCAACCATGTCTTGCTCAAATCTAACAATGTGGGTCTCCTCAAAACCTTCCCTCTCCGACACTTCCTCTCTCTCCTTCCGCTCTTGCCTCAGCCCCTTTCAGCTCCCATTTTCTCAATCCTCATACCCCGCCACCTCCAACTCTAAATCCTCCGTCGTCCACTGCGGTCTCCGCGAGCTCCGAGACCGCATCGACTCCGTCAAGAACACCCAGAAGATCACCGAGGCCATGAAGCTCGTCGCCGCCGCCAAAGTCCGACGAGCCCAAGAAGCCGTCGTCAATGGCCGACCCTTCTCCGAGACTCTCGTGGAAGTCCTATACAACATCAACGAGCAGCTCCAGACGGAGGACATCGACGTTCCCCTCACCAGCGTAAGGCCGGTCAAGAAAGTCGCCCTCGTCGTCGTCACCGGCGACCGTGGCCTCTGCGGCGGCTTCAACAACGCCATCATCAAGAAGGCCGTCGCAAGAATCGAAGAACTCAAAGACCTCGGCGTCGATTACACCGTCATAAGCGTCGGCAAGAAAGGAAACTCCTTCTTCGTACGCCGTCCCTACATTCCCGTCGATAAGTTCCTCGAAGGCGGATCGCTTCCGACCGCGAAGGAGGCCCAGGCCATCGCCGACGATGTCTTCTCCCTCTTCGTGTCCGAAGAGGTCGACAAGGTCGAGCTCCTCTACACGAAATTCGTGTCGTTGGTGAAGTCCGATCCGGTGATACACACTCTGCTTCCGCTGTCGCCGAAGGGGGAGATCTGCGACGTCAACGGGAACTGCGTCGACGCGGCGGAGGACGAGTTCTTCAGGCTGACGACGAAGGAAGGGAAGCTGACGGTGGAGAGGGATGTGGTGAGGACGCAGACAGCGGATTTCTCCCCAATACTGCAGTTCGAGCAGGACCCGGTTCAGATACTGGACGCGCTTCTCCCGCTGTACCTGAACAGCCAGATTCTGAGGGCGTTGCAGGAGTCGCTGGCGAGCGAGCTGGCGGCGAGGATGAGCGCCATGAGCAACGCCACCGATAACGCCCTCGAGCTGAAGAAGACCTTGTCCATGGTCTACAACAGGCAACGCCAGGCCAAGATCACCGGTGAGATATTGGAGATTATTGCCGGGGCTAATGCATTGGTCTAGATCATACAATCGTCGTGATTCTTATATGTATATGTGCATAAGGTCTTTGTTACTTGATCTTTTGTAGGTACTACCTTTTTTTCTTTTTTTTTTTTTTTTGGGTTTTTTTTTTTTTTTTTTTTTTTTTTTTTTTGGTTTTGCTCTATTCGTTCGGATATTTATATGCCTGTTTCAAGGACAATTATTCAAGCAACATCACACTTTGATTCATTGTAATTCTCTACTGCGTATAAACTTTGTGCACAAATGAGAATGGCAATGTATTTTGAGACAATAATTTATACCAATATTCCACTACTCTCTTTTTTAATTATTATTATTATTATTTCCCGTATACTTGAATCATCTGGGGGAGTCGTAGTACTAAAGATAGATAGCATATTATGAAAATATCCCTTTGTCAATGTTACATGTTCTAATCGTTAGATTGAAATAAGTATGAGTATACTTTATTCTTTTTGAGCATATATAACTGTTCTAATTATTTTGCTTAAGTAGTTGCAGTCTGAATGTATGTTGGTTGATAAGCTGAGTTAACAAATGAGAGTGAGAAGAAATACTGTAATCGAATTTAAATTTTTATGAGAAAAAATACTTAACAAAAAATTTGAATTGTGATTCAAATTGTAAAAAGAAAGAATCTTTTGAAACGTCAACTGCAGTAGGGACTAGAACAATACTCCCCTGCCATGTTGACAAAGCACGCTACAAGGTTGTGCTCGCAATCAGCAAGAAAATAGGTCCTTAATTTAAGCTTGGGTTCGCTTCTGCACCGGAGAAATTATAGATACCAATGATGTTATAATAACATTGGCCTGGTATTCAGATCTTGAGAATTTCAGTTACTGAACTTTTTTATCCCTAAATTTAAAAGTGAAAACAAACACACAGACTCATATGTGTATTTATAACAGTGTCTGTATATGTGCACATATGTGTGTTAGACCATTCTATTTTCTAGCACACAATTCAAATTAACCATGACTAACTGTCTGTTTCATTTTTTTTTTTTTTTTTCTCTTTTGGTGTCATCCCACCCTTTATATCCTTCGTCACTATGAAAATCCCAGAACCAATCAATGGAACGAAAAAGACCTGACTGATTAGTTCTATGTTGGTCTATAGAATTTTATTGCTTGCCTAATTTAGCAAGTTTTGAAGATGTCCAATATATGTGTAACATCCAATTAAATTAATTGAGATTAATTAATCAAATCCAGTAATTAGTATTAATTAATTTGAGATTAGTAAAATATTTTTAATTGTAATTATCACATAAAGGACTTTTCTCCCTCAAAATGACTATTTTTAAAAATTGACACTGTTGTCTCTCGAACAATTTTCTAGTTTTGAAATCTAATTTTTCAAAACAAGAATAATGTGTCATTTCATATTCTATTCAAATTGGACTTTACAGTCTAATCATCAAATTTACTGGAAAGTCTAAGCTCATTTTTCATTTTTCCTTTCCTTTTCCTTTCTTTTTCTCATTTCCTCTCCTCTCCCACATCTCTCTCTTTCCCTTTTCTCCACGCCGGCCACCATCACCCCCGCTCAGATTCCGGTGTCATTTTTGACACCTCTTGGCTCATTGGAAAGCTCTCGATGAGCTGAGAATTTTGACAGGTCACACAACCTCCAACTCCTCCAAACGAAGCCGCAATCGTCGGCCGAAGTTTTGAAAACAATCGAAACTTTCGATCACGATATCTCCTTCGTCCGATATCCGATCGAGGTGATTTCAGTTCTTATAGATTCAAAATAAAGAGATGAAGAAAACCTGACCATTTTCACAACTCATCACTGGCCATAACACCGCCGTCGAAGTCATCGGAACATCCCATGCCGCCACCTTAGGTTTTCCATCTCTGACCAGTTTTGGTTGACACCACCCTCACTACTAGGTTCAAAACTCAAAGACGAGTTGATCCCGACCAGTTTTAGCCTCCGCCGTCACCGTTTGGCCAAAAAACGGAGTCGCTGCCCCCGTTTGAGGAGGTAAGGGGTGGTTTCGACGGTCTAACCGTTAGATCATCGTGATTTCGGTGTCTAAATGCTCAGAAGATCATGGGTAATGAAAACCTGCAACCAATTTTGAGATTCCATAGCCGAAGAAATAAGATCAAAGTCGCCAGATTTTATCGACGTTTTTGAGTTCGATCTGAGAATTTAGAGGCCGAATTTGGTGAAATTGACCACACCATTGAACTCAGAAGGATTGATTTAGGGCGGTAAGACCCAAGTCCGCCGTGGAAATATGCTCCGGCGGAGGTCCGCCTCCGCCGTGATTTTTGGTATGTTCCGATGACCTTCCGCTCAGCAGCCTCCCGACCTTCGTTCGTCGATCCGAGACCATATCCTGACTCATTTTGATGTGTTGAACGCAATGGTAACCTCCGTTTCTACCAATTCCACTCCCTAAAATGTCTACTGGAGCTGTGCACCCAGATCAAGGTAAATCGAATGAATTCGTTGAAGTTTAAAGCGAGCCGTGGAGCTTCAAGAATAGACGCTTGGGCAGCGTGAAGTTATCCGTAGATTAAATTGCCAAGAGATAGGATATTCTTGTCCATATCCTTGTTAGCCTGTTTTAAAGTGTTTTGACATATATAAATATTTTTAAAGTTAAAACGTGTGATTGATAAAGAAAAGTGTTTAAAGGCAATAGCTTGATTATTACTATTGATCTCATAATGAACTCATTTAAAGTTTTAATGAACATTTTCTTATGATAAGATATCTTGCAAACTAGTAAGTCTACTGATGGTCTAGACATGATATGGAGATCGTATCCTTAGGGGCAGAACCCGAAACCCAGACGGGCCACTACAGTGGTGTTTGGCCTTGCATTGGTCGTAAGTAATTTAATTACTTAAATTACTTGCTAGTTGCTTGTAATATGGAATTTAAGTTTATTTACCTTTCAGAAAAAGGTTGTTTGGTTTCGACTGATTCGTTGGGGCCGGTACTTTGTATATTTTATGTTATTTTTATGGATTTTCTTTAATTAATCCAGTTTAATTAAGTTAAATTTTATATTAAACCCCAATAATCACGGTCCTATCCTTGGGGTCTTGACAATATGTATGTACCCAGTATGTAATACAAGAAGTAGGGGTTCACGGATTCCAATTCACGGATTGAAGGCCAATCCACAATCCGATCCAAAGCTGCGGATTTGAAAAATTCCAATCTGTGTTCGATTCAAAACCTTTTCGGATTGAATCGGATCCAATCCAATTCAAAATCTATCGGATTTTGCGGATTTGACTCACGGATTCTGACCTTTAAAAATATAAATTAATAAACATTCACACAAAATAAACACAACACGATTAATAAATATCTAAATTGTTCCTACAAGCAACAAAAAAAAATTAGGGTTTCGCAATGAGCTGAGCTTTGTAGTAAGGACTAGAGATATCAGATATGGACTTTGTAGTAGAGATATCAGATATGGGCCACTAAGTATATACTAGATTTTTTTTTAAATTAACTTATAAAAATTTATATATATATATAATTATAAAAATAATTTATGTGTATATATATGGTTTCAGATTCGTGAATTTCACAGATTGGAAAGTACTCAATATGCAATCCATCTAAAACCTTCAGATCGGGAAAATCCCAATCTATGTTTGATTCAAAATTATTTTTAATCCGATCTAAAACTTCAGATTAAATTAGATTTCGCGGATCAATCGGATTCGCGGATTTCATATATTAGCGTCAAAGTTTTTAACACTCCTAACAAGAAGCTAAAACATATGTCCCGGCCCGGATTGTTGGTTAATTAGCGTCAAAGTTTTTTTGGCCATGATTATGTAGTTCATATACTGCTATTGATCATATAAGACTCGCTTGATATCATTAATGAGCTTATTGAGTACTATAAGTCCTTTTCGTGGCCCAATATTGCATATTTTTTATGGTGACATTTTACATTGCTCATTTGTCACTTATTTTCGCTGGCTCTTGTGGCGCTGCAAAGTTATATATATACATACATACATACATATATATATATATATATATATGCACACACATATAGAATTTGCTCCGAACGACAACGAGTAGAGAGACTATCAGTCACAGATGATGGCATATTCTTAGATGGTTGACAACGAATTCAAACCTTGACTTTACTCGCTACTTCATAAAACCAAGACAAAGCAATGAAAAGGTGGTCCCTCAAATATATATGCGAATTAGCTGTTTAAACTTTACGCACTTGTACTCACAAGGCAAGTAGCTATAAAGGTACCTGGACTGACTAATTTCACATTCTACTAATTTCTAATAGGTGAATAAATATTTTAAAAAAAAATTTTTTTTTTTTTTTTTTTTTTTTTTTCTAAGGAAGTCATAGGAGTTATTCATGTTGACTTGTTAAACATGACCTCCATTTATGAAGAAATTCATGAAAATGCAATTCAATTTTTTTTTTTTAAAATTAGTTCCACGGGTTTGGTATCTCCTAAATATACATCAAATTAACTTTCTATGAGACACAAAACGCTTGTTTTGCTTTTAGAAATATAACAAAAGAATATATGAAAAAAATTGTGAAAATAACATAACGTACACTCTTGTCCTGGTAACTATGTATATCTAAAGTGATTGAAAATCGATATTAGCAAACATTTTTCTGTCCCCCGTTTTTTTTTTTTTTGTCCCACTAAACAACAGAAAATGAGTTAAAATTACTAATGTTGATCACTTTTTTTTTTCCAAAAAGAGTAAAGTTTAGGGCCCGTTTAGTTCGCTGATTTAAGTTTTTAATTCGAGTTGAGATGTGATTTTATGTGAGAGCTTTTTACTGTAGTAAAAAAGTTAGATGTGATTATTTGTAAGAGTTTTTTACTATAAAAAAATTTAAATTTTAAACTCGAATCAACAAAATGAACAAGGCCTTAGCGAAATGAACGGGGCCTTAGAAGAGACTTGTGAGACTCCTATTGAAAATCCCTGACTATTTCTTTATTTTTATTTTTATTTTTTGGGTTCTTGAAAGGAATCCGTGATCATTTCCAAAAGAAGAAGTTTTGAATTTTGGTTAAACATCCTCCGAAGTTTGTCTTCACGTGGCATGCTCCCATTTGATGTGGCAATTGCTGGTTGATTCCTGGCGGGGTAGCCTATCAACTGCTTTTAGCCTCTCAAAAGCCTAACCTTCCAGAATAATGAATATTATTAAAAAATAAACCAAGAAATTCTCACATGCACCGCCTCACCATCTCAAACCCATCTCCACCGTTGGATCCCTCAGATGATAAGAAGAAACGGTGCTGATCAACCACAGAAGAATAGTTTAACATCAGGTGGAACGAAAAGCACGTGGCTGATGTTGCAAGAACTCGAGTTTTACCGTGATTAGCGAAGCAGAGTAGTATAACCTCGAGAGGTGCACACATTTAACAAGTGTAAGATTTTTACGTAATTTCGTTGCACATTTTCAGAGAGAGAGGGAGAGAGATGAACTGTTGGATCAATCAGAGGATGTTTTGTTGTTGATTAGGATTTGTGGGAAGGAAGTAGAAATATCTAGAAGGCAAATAGACATTCTTTTTTGTTTTTTTGTTTTGTTTTTGTTTTTGTTCAGAAGCCGCCATGGATGTGGCTTTGCAAGCTCAAGGGTCAGTGAGCTACAGAGCAGTATTTCAAGAAAGAAGCGGTTTAAAGCTCAACCCTTTTCTTGGGTCCTTTCAACATGGGAGACTTTCCCATTTTGTACAGGTAAAGCGGAAAAAGAAAAAAGAAAAATACTTGCTTTGTTTATCATTGTTTGCTTGTCCTGTATCCGTAATTAGAGTATGCAGTGGTATTTCATTATTAGGTTGTTTGTACTGATTATATCAACTCATGCATTTCTTTGGGCATGTTTTACTTGCAACTTCAATGTTTTTATTTTGGATTTGGGTTATGGGATTAAAAAGATTTCTGTTGTTGGTTCTTTCAATTTTGTTTTCTGGGTCTCCTTGATAGTCCCGTTTGTTTGATAAAGTCGGAGAATCAATTAGCCTGTATCTTGTTGTTAAATTCCCTACGCTTGAATTGCAAATTGCTTTTGTTACAATACAAATCAGTATTTAACTACTTGTTTGATTGATTTCAGTTTTCCTCATGGCCCAAAGTACATCCTGCAAGTGGGATTTCATATCGAGTCATTGCTAATGCAGCTGGTAGAGGTAGCTATTTGCTTCCGTTCTAATTTAATTACATATATATATATATATATATATATTTTGTTTTCTCCTTTCATGCTTCTGAATCTGCTTCTGTTATGTGTGTGTGTGTGCATTATATATGTGTGTATGTATAAACAGATTATTGGAGAAGGAAACCAAGAAAAATGTCAACTCCAAGAACGAGTAGGCCAAAGGGATTTGGGCCGAAATTGCCTGCAGGGACGAGCACCCAGAAGAGGGTCCAAAGAAATATTGAGGATAAAAAGGATTCTGAAACTCCGGAATCCAGTGAACTTGCTGAGGCCAACAAGACAGTGCTTGAAATGAATGTTGATTCTGAGAAGCAATGGGCAGTTGAAGTTTCTCCTCCTGAGAAACTTGAGGAAGGGAAAACAGATGAAACTAGTGGCGAAATCGAGAAATCATCATCAGTGAGAGAAGTGCCAGCTGTTCGTCCAAGCAAGCAAGGAGTAGAAAATGGAAGGATAGGTACAGTCAGTGAGAATGACACAGGGTTATTGCATAAAAAAGAAGATATTGAAGTTGGTAATGAGAATGTGGCTGATGTAACTTCTAGAGGAAGAGATAAGAAAGCAACGAAGAGTAATTACACACTGACAAATAAAAGTGTCGAGACGGAAATAAGATTAGTTGAAGAAGCTTCTCTAAAGCTAAAGTTGGAGATACAAGCAAGATTATGCCGAGAGGAAATCGAGAAGCTTGCTGAGGAGAGGTTCTCAAGAGGAGACAAGCTGTTTGTTTATCCTCAGGTGGTGAAACCTGATATAGATATAGAAGTGTTCTTTAATAGGAGTCTCTCTACGCTGGAGAATGAGCAAGATGTACTGATTATGGGTGCTTTCAACGACTGGCGATGGAAATCTTTCACCAGAAGGTTAAACAAAACAGATTTTAAAGGGGATTGGTGGTCTTGCCTGGTTCATGTTCCTAAGGAAGCGTATAAGATGGACTTTGTTTTCTTTAATGGGCAAAGTGTTTACGACAATAATGATATGAAAGACTTCTGCGTACCTGTGGAAGGTGGGATGGATGCTTTTGCCTTTGAAGATTTTTTGCTTGAGGAGAAACGAAGGGAACTTGAGAAGCTTGCTAAGGAGCAGGCTGAGAGGGAACGAGAAGCCGAAGAGCAAAGACGAGTAGAAGCTGAGAAGGCAGCCAGGGAAGCTGATAGAGAACAGGCTAGGAAACATACTCAAGAGCGAAGAAAAATGTTGCAAGAGGTGATGAAAAAGGCTGTTCGGACTGTTGAGAATGTTTGGCACATAGAGCCTAGTAACTTTGGAGGTGACGACTTGGTGAATTTGTATTATAACAAAATCTCTGGTCCACTTGCCGAGTCTCAAGGAATCTGGATACATGGTGGGTACAACAATTGGAAGGATGGACCGTCCATCGTTTCAAGGCTTGTTAGGTCTGAGAAAATGGGTGGTGATTGGTGGTATGCTAAGGGTATGTGCATACATACATCTCCCTCTTATCTTTCTGACCTTCCCTGTTGTGGTGTCTTTATCGCACTTTTATTGATCTGAAAGTTTATGGATTTCCAATGTGGCTTTGTCCCCAAAAGAATCCTGAAACACGTATATCACTAGATTTATGACAGTGTAATTATCAATGTTCCAAGAATAATCCTGCTTTTGTCAGAGGAACACGACAAAAGAAAATGAATTCGTAAGTAATAATGGACTAATAGAGTGTTTGGGATGTGAATCATATAAGACGTTTGCGTAATAAAGTTCTCATTACATATCACTATGTCATGCTTTTCTATTTTTAAGGCGAGCGTTTTCAGAAGTTACTTAGGAAGGTTGTTCTTGACACCATTAATAAATGAAATCATCTTTAGTTTAATGACTAGAAATCTTAGGTTCATTCATAGTAACGGTGTAACATGAAACTTCTCCATGGATGGTAGGCATATAAGGGGCTGAACCTGCTCACATGGGCGAGCTTTATTTTGAGGGGCTATAATTAGTGGTGGGTTTAAAATTTTTAATGAGAAAAGTAAAGCTTGGTAATTCACACTTGAACTTTAACCTTAATATATAAAGTGAGGCGCGAGCTTTTTTCTTGTGGTGGCTGGATTTTGGCCTGCCATATCATGGTTCTTTAAAGATTGGGATGTTGTATATGGATTGCAGTAAGATTAGGGGTGGGTAGCTATAATGGTTGCCTAGGCTTTTGAGGGTCAAAGAGTATTATCCTTTTGGTTGCAATATTGCATTTTGCAAAATAATAACTTCCCCCCACCTTTTTGTCAGTTGTTGTACCTTATCGAGCATTTGTCTTGGATTGGGTCTTTGCTGATGGACCCCCTGAGAAGGCTATAGTGTATGATAACAACCGTCGTCAGGATTTCCATGCTATAGTTCCAAAATCCATCTCTGAGGAACTATATTGGGTTGAGGAAGAACATCAGATATACAAGAAGCTACAGGAAGAGAGGAGATTAAGGGAGGAAGAAAAACGTGCCAAGGTAACGCATTGTTTAAGTTCAAGGGGTCAAGTTATATGGATTTGTGCATATTTGTTTAAACAGTGCTAAATTCCCATGTCTTTTGCCTTTTCTATTGTTGCAGGCTCAAAAGACAGCACGTTTGAAAGCTGAAACAAAGGAAAGAACTTTGAAAAGGTTTTTGCTGTCTCAAAAGCATATAGTCTATACTGACCCTCTTGATGTTCATGCTGGAAGTTTGGTGACAGTTTTCTATAATCCAGCGAACACAGTTTTGAATGGAAAGCCTGAAGTCTGGTTCAGATGCTCTTTTAACCGCTGGACCCACCGCAAGGGTCCATTGCCACCACAGAAAATGTTACCTGCAGATAATGGTTCTCTTGTCAAAAGCACTGGTGAGTTTGAACCTTTGATACTCATGAAAGTAATATGATTTATGAGGTTTATATCCTGTACCTTATTGTCACAAGGTGTCTGCTATGATGCAAAATCATTTAGTGGGTAGTAGTGAGTCTCATCGTGAAATATTTTTTTATGGTTTTTCAGTCAAGGTTCCACTGGATGCATATATGATGGACTTTGTCTTCTCCGAGCGGGAAGATGGTGGAATCTTTGACAACAAATGTGGCATGGATTATCACATTCCTGTATTTGGGGGAATTGTGAAGGAACCACCAATGCACATTGTGCATATTTCTGTTGAAATGGCCCCTATTGCAAAGGTACAATTATGTGTTCACCTAATGGTGTCCTTTCTTTTCCCTGGCTTCTCTTTTTCTGAGTCCGTGGCTTCCTATGTCTGAGGTTCTGGGGCATGTGAATTATAATTTCCTTGTTGATGGATTCATTTTAATATGTTGTGACAGTATATCAAAATCCTACTGACTTGTTATTCATATTTTAGTTTCTGACAATTATGTATCCTTTTTTGTTCTACGACCAGGTTGGAGGACTCGGTGATGTGGTTACTAGTCTATCCCGAGCCGTGCAGGAGTTGAACCACCACGTGGACATCATTCTTCCAAAGTATGACTGTTTGAACCTTAGCAATGTAAGCTTCATCACTGTTGCTTTCTTGCATATTTCTCATCCTATTAATCCCCTCTGTATTTTTTCTTTTTTTTCATGTTGTTGCACCATAATTTGCAAGTAAAAAGGATTTGGAGTCTCATCTATAGTTGATTAGTTCCCCTCCCTGAGAGTGATGGACTTTATGCGATAATTGATCTGTGGATTCTCCCCTCTTTTATTTACTTGAAAACATGTCTCATCAAATGATTCATATAGTCCTGAAAGATAAAGATACGTTTCATATCTCTCAATTTTTTATTTTCCATCTCGTTTTCAGATTCATTGAAGTTTTGCGAATATTCATTAAGTTCATCTACAGTTCCGTAATTTTACCCACTCTTCTAGACTTCAGCTTGCAATATAATTTAGTCTGAATCCGTATTGTGGTTTATTAAATGTTTATGTTCTGCTATAGGTGAAGGACTTCGGGTTCAATAGAAGCTTTGCCTGGGGTGGGACTGAAATAAAAGTTTGGCATGGGAAAGTGGAAGGGCTTTCAGTCTACTTTTTGGAGGCTCAAAATGGGTATTTATTTTGTATTCACTTTTCTTTTTCATGCTTGGTATTTATTTATTCCTTTTTGTCTCTGGCACGGTGGCACCATACTGCAACACAAGGCGAATGTCTTAAGTTTATTATTTTTTATTTTTATTTTTTTTTTCCAGATTCTTTTGGAGAGGTTGCATATATGGTTGTAACAATGATATAGAGAGGTTTGGCTTCTTTTGCCATGCTGCTCTTGAGTTTCTACTCCAAAGTGGATTTCATCCTGTAAGTTTAGTTTTCTGGCTCATTGAAGTGTTTATTTAAAAGTTCTTCATAAGTACTTTGCTTTAGTGATTGCCTATTTGGAAATCGAATAGTGTAGAACGTCAATTATCTGAGAAAAGACCTTCATTTTGAACCCACACACAACAATAATAAGGGGGCTGCCGCCTCCCAATAAAGAAAATGAACAATATAAAAGGTTTCTATGAGAATGAGATGACCTGCATGTGTGAGCAAAAAAAGATTTTCAATTTATAGTCAAATATATTTTCAAAGGTAATAGCTTTAATAGGTGCTTTGTATTGACAGGATATACTTCATTGCCATGATTGGTCTAGTGCACCAGTTACTTGGTTATTTAAGGACCATTATATGCATTATGGTCTTAGTAAAGCTCGGGTAGTCTTCACGATCCATAACCTTGAATTTGGAGCACATTTTATTGGGAAAGCGATGGCATACTCAGACAAGGCTACAACTGTAAGTATTTAAAGTTTTCTAATCCAATTTAGCTTTGCCTATCTTCGCCGCAGTTTTTATAATTTGATAAGCCTCCCCTACGATTCACTTATGTACGGAAGAGACTATGTGAGAAGGGTCATGCGGGGACAGGAAAGGAGATGGAAGCTGCAGCACAGGGGAACACTTCTCAGGACGGTTAGGAGGGGGCTGAGTTGGAACGAGAGGATGAGCTGGGTTGAGAGAGGGAAAGGTCTGTTAGTTAGTTAGCTGCATTGGAGTCTGTAACTAGGGAAATGTGATCGAGTAAATAGGGAGCGAGGGCAAGAGAGAAGGGCATCAGAAAAGTATAGAGCTGAAGATAGTGAGGGAGTGCACGGGGTCACTTGAAAACCCCCATATCCTGTAATCTTTCCGATTTTCTGCCAATTAATTCCATTGATCCAGTGAATTTACTCATATTCTTGTGTAGACGTGTGCTTGCAATTTGTTATTAGCCTGTGAGTTTATCATTTGGTATCAGAGCACCTTTCTGGGAATGACGAAGAGGACTGACGACTGTAAGAAAGAGAGGACGGAGGGAACGAAAGAGGATTTTCAGAAGGAGTTGGAAATGGTGAGGGAAGATTTGAAGAAGATTCCCAGGCTTGAGCAGGGAATGGCACTGATGTTGGAAAAACTGGACAAACTGATGTGCCAGAGAGCTGAATATGACCGGGAGCCTACTCCGACAGAGAGGAGGACGACTGAGACACAATTGGCGGCGGCTGGGGGAAACCGCGCAGAATTCTGAACGCGACGGGTAGAAATGCCCACTTCTGATGGAGAAAACCCTGATGGCTAGATTTTCCAAGCTGAGAGGTATTTCGCCATGAACAAGATGACGGAGAGTGAGAAGTTGGATGTAGTGGTGGTAAGCTTGGATGGAGAAGCTTTGGCTTGGTTCCAGTGGGAGGATAGCCGGCGGGTGATACGGGACTGGGCGGATCTAAAAGTGTTGGTGCTTGAGAGGTTTCGACCAACACAGGAAGGCAGTCTATGCAAGAAATTCTTATCTCTGAGCCAGGAATCGTTGATCCGGGAGTATTGCAAGCTCTTTGAAATGTTGGCTGCCCCATTAATGGAGGTTTCCGAGCAAGTCCTAGAGAGTTCGTTTGTCAACGGATTAAAGCCCGGAATCAGGGCTGAAATTCGGATGCTGAAGCCCAAGGGATTGGGCCGAATTATGGAATTCGCCCAGCGGGTCGAGGAGCGTAACCTACTGGTACGCGGCCCAAAGGCCCACAACTTACAGCCCAGCCCGGGAAACAAATCAAGTTCTGGAAACCCTAAGTTTGGACCTAGGGGGGTTCAGTTCAAGTTGGGTTGGGACCGCGAGGGGGAATGGCGCCGTGGGGAAGGACGACCCCCACCTCAGACTGGCCATCGAGCAGCAGGACCGGAGTGGCACCGTTCCAGCGTTTGACCGACGCCGAACTTCAAGGGAAGAGGGAAAAAGGCCTTTGCTATTGCTGTGATGGGAAGTATGTCTTTGGGCACCGTTGCCCTAACCGGGAGTTGTAGGTGCTCATCGTGCGCGATGAAGAGGATTAGGAGGAGACGCAGGAAGGAAAGAAGGAGGCACTCGAGGGAGGTGAAGTGGTGGAGCTCTCCATCAATTCGGTGGTTGGACTCACCGCCCCGAAGATTATGAAGCTCCGAGGAGTGGTTCGTGGGAAAGAGGTAATAATCCTGATCGATTGTGGGGCGAATCACAATTTTATTTCGTTTGACTTGGTGCGACGATTGGATTTACCTATAGATTGGATTGAAGGATATGGGGTGGTTATGGGAACGGGGTTATCGATTAAAAGGGAAGGAGTTTGCCGCGGGGTGGCAGTTTCTCTGCAAGAGGTAGAAATTGTGGAAGATTTTCTCCCCTTGGAGTTGGGCAGCGCAAACCTTATTTTAGGGGTTCAGTGGCTGGAAAATTTAGGGATGATGACAGTGAATTGGAAGACTTTACTGATGAAATTCAGTCTAGGGGATCGACAAGTGAGACTGAAATGGGATCCCGGGTTAAACAAATCCCCAGTCACCCTTAAGGCCTTAATGTGCGCCCTTAAGCAAGAGGGGCAAGGTATGTGGGTGGAGTTGAATACCCTGGGGATAAGGCCAAAGGAAGAGGCTGTGGAGGCACCGGAGGAGCTGCAAGCCGTGTTACAATGGCACTTGGCAGTGTTTGAATCTCCAACGGAATTGCCACCAGAACGGGCAAAGGATCACTCGATAGTGTTGAAGGTAGGGACTTCCCGATTAACGTCAGGCCATACCGCTATCCTCAGATACAAAAGGACGAGATTGAACGTTTAGTGGGGGAGATGCTAGCAGCAGGTATTATCCAGCCTAGTATGAGCCCGTACTCCAGTCCGGTCCTCTTGGTGAAGAAGAAAGATGGAAGTTGGAGGTTCTGTGTGGATTACTGTGCTCTAAATAAAGAGACAGTGCCGGATCGTTTTCCGATACCGGTAATAGACGAATTACTCGTTGAACTCCATGGGGCTACCATTTTCTCTAAAATTGATCTCAAGTCAGGGGTACCATCAGATTCGTGTAAGGTCGGAAGATGTGCCCAAAACAGCTTTTCGCACACACGAGGGGCACTACGAGTTCCTTGTCATGCCGTTTGGCCTCACGAATGCCCCGGCAACCTTTCAATCACTCATGAATGACGTGCTACGAGCTTTTCTCCGTAAGTTCGTCTTGGTTTTTTTTTTTATGACATCCTAATCTACAGCCGCACCATGAGGGAACATGAGCACCATTTGGATCAGGTATTGGCCGTTTTACACCAGCACCGCTTGTTCGCCAATGGAAAAAAGTGTAGTTTTGGGCAGAACTCAATCGAGTACCTGGGGCATGTTGTGTCTAGGAATGGGGTGTCGGCAGACCCGGCCAAGGTGGAAGCTATGGTGCTTTGGCCTTCCCCCACGAACTTGAAGGAGTTGCGTGGCTTTCTGGGGTTAACCGGCTACTATAGTAAGTTTGTGGCAGGTTACAGCCACATCACGGGGCCATTGACGAACTTACTGTGGAAGGATAATTTTCACTGGGATGAGGAGGCCAGCAGCGCGTTTGCTGCACTTAAGCATGCCATGACAGTAGTGCCCGTCCTAGCCTTGCCCGATTTCAACAAACCCTTTGTGCTGGAAACAGATGGTTCGGGTCATGGGGTTGGGGCAGTGTTAATGCAAGAGCAACGACCCTTAGCATACTTTAGTCAGGCTCTTTCCGCACTAGCACGCAGCAAGTCCATGTATGAGCGAGAATTGATGGCCATAGTTCTAGCCATTCAGAAATGGCGGCCATATCTCTTGGGACGACATTTCATGAACCGCACCGACCAATGTAGCCTCAAGTACCTGCTAGAGCAACGCCTAGTGTCTCCAGAACACCAGAAGTGGTTAACTAAGTTGATGGGATACGACTTCGAGATCCAGTATAAACCAGGATCGGACAATAGGGTGGCGGACGCTCTCTCCCGTTGTGTTAGCACCCCGGACCGGAGTGCCTTGTCGCTAGCCCCAATTGTCGACACAAGTGAACTGCACTAGCAGGTATTGCTCGATGAACACTTAGCTAAGGTATGGTCCGAATTACAGCAGGATGCTACATCACATCTGGGTTTTTACATTGCTCAAGACAGGTTATTTTACCACGGCAGAATGGTGGTACCTCGGGAGTCCCCATTTATTACAACTCTGCTGTATGCCTACCATGATGGTGTCTTGGGAGGACACTTAGGCGTATTGAAGACGTATTGGCGGATTGCGGCGGAATGGTATTGGACTGGTATGAAAAAGGACGTCACTGCTTATGTATCGGTGTGTGCAGTGTGTCAGTGTTGTAAAACTTCTACACTGGCCCCTAGTGGTCTCCTACAACCCTTACATATCCCAGACCGGGTGTGGGAGGACCTTTCGATGGACTTTATTGAGGGCTTACCGCATTCAGAGGGATACGACACCATCTTGGTTGTCGTGGATCGACTTAGCAACTACGGGCATTTCCTTGCGCTGAGACATCCTTTTTCCGTAGAGATCGTGGCTAGAATCTTCATTCGGAAAGTAGTGTGCCTCCATGGGGTGCCTCGTACTATCGTGTCGGATCGCGATTGCATTTTCCTGAGTCATTTTTGGACCGAGCTCCACAAGCAGATGGTTACTACTTTATCACGGAGCACGGCCTACCACCCCCAATCCGACGGCCAAACCAAGGTGGTCATTAGATGCGTGGAAACGTACTTGCGTTGCTTCACTTCATACAAGCCCAACCAGTGGCACAAATGGTTAGTTTGGTCGGAGTACTAGTACAACACTTCTTTTCATACAGCCACCCGCACCACTCCCTTTTAGGCAGTATACGGCCGCATACCACCTCCACTGTTGCGTTATGGCACAGGCTCCTCTCCGGTGGGTTCCGTGGAGCAGCACCTCATGGACCGCGATGCAATGCTGGACCTTCTCAAGTTCCATCTTCTCCGCACCCAGCAGAAAATGAAGTCCGTGGCCGATAACAAGCGCCGGGATGTCTAGTTCACCGTGGGGGACTCAGTGTACCTCAAGCTTCGCTCCTATCGTCAGTTGAGTTTGGCACGTAGGCGCAATGAGAAGTTAAGTCCCCGTTTTTATGGCCCTTTTGAGATCATTGGTTGTGTGGGGCCGGTGGCATACCGCCTCAACCTTCTAGTGGAGGCTGCTAGCCACCCGGTGTTTCATGTCTCTCAACTACACCGTGTTGTGGGGCAAGGACAGCCTGTTTTCGCCTTACCACCACATCTCACAAAGGACTTGGAGCTACGGGCAGAACCAGTTGCCCTTCTTGGAGTGCGCCAGCGGTACATGGGGGACGCTCGGACCCAGAGGTCCTGATACGTTGGACTAATTTAACCTGCCCATGAGGACACGTGGGAATCCTATCAGGCCATAGACCAGCAGTACCCTCACTTCCACCTTGAGGACAAGGTGCGTCTTTAGGGCGGG